CGGCGCTGGCCAATCGTGAGGACGGATCCGCCGTCGCGATTGGCCAGCGCCGGCCCTCGCGCCTTCCTCGAGGAAGTGGAGGGGCCCTTCAGTTTGAGTGTAGTTTGAGTGAGGTTTCTGGAATTCGGCGGTAAGAACCCGATTCATGCAGTCAGTTTAAAGTGCGTTCAATCCATTTCGTCCACGCTGCAGCTCTAGGACTAATGAAAAAAAAAAATGTTTAGGCCGGGGAGAAGGGGAGCAGCACCCCCCGGAAGGGGGCGGCGGCCCTCTCGGACCCGCGGAAGTAGCGAGGAAGCAAGACCTCGAGGAGCAGAACGCACGAGACTGACGTAGTGGCCGCGTCGCGGTGAAAGTTCATCCTCCCTGCGTGGAGGGAGCCTAACCGATTCTGCAGGCATTTTCAGTAAAGTTGTTCTCTCTCTCTCTCTCTAGGCATTTTACGAGTCTTTCTGAATTTGCTTATATTTTCCCCAGAAACGCGAGCATTCGTATTAAATTTGCATGCATTTCTGTCGCGCAACGCGTGAAAGGAGTGCAGCTGCCGTCCTACTCGCCGTCAATTACAGCCTTCGTTCGCTGAGGCTAACGACAAGAAAGCGTTCGCTGAGGGCGACGGGCCGCTGCCTGAATTAACGGTTGAGGGAGCACCGATACAACGTAGATAGTGCCGCATCTGGGCATCTCGGTGTGCACTGCCGAGATTGTGGCTGTACTCCACTCTTTGCTGACGCTGACTGTGCTGTATTTTACAAAAACAAAAACAAAATCACGAGAAATACTTGAGGCCCAGGAAATTGGTAGACTGGGGCTGCATTGTGTCAGCGCACCCTCTGTAACTTTGTCGGATAAGGAATTGCTGTTCCTCAACCAGGGATGACTAGTCTTATATGGTGCGATGGGTGATGTCACAATTTTAGCCCTTTAGCAATGTGTATTTGTCTATTTTTCTTAACTTGCTTTTGTTGGCACCGGTATATATATTAAGTGACTGCGAAAATAAAGTTGAGTTCTAAGCAGCGCTATATCTGTAGCCTCGTTTACGTGAATGCGACTTCAGCGCGTCGACTCCAATCGTCCTTTGAATGAAGCCGACGCGGCAACGTTTACATGAATGCGCGGCAAGCCCTACGCGAAGGAGGCGCCACGCCGTGTCAAAGCTCAAGGTTAAAGCTGTGTTCCCGACACCAGCCGCACCACGTGACCGCATCTTCCGGTGCATCGCACAGGCCTTTCGACGCATTCGGCGAGCTTGAAGATCGTGCCCGCTGTCTTCGATGCTCTGCAAGAAGTTACGAAACGGAAGAAACATCAAAACCCAACCGTTTTGGGCTCCGGGCCGGGCCGCCGGGTCACCCTGGACCAGAGGCGTCGTGCGTGCGCAAGCCCCGGCGAGCCAGATCGTTTCCGAACGCTCTGAGCACGCCACCGCGCTTCGCCTCGCCAAACCTCGCCGCCCGCGACCGGACCAACCGAACCCCGAGGCCAAAAGGCTCCGGCGCAGCCAGGAACGACACCGAGGCAGGAGCTGCTCGTACTGCGCTCCCATGCAGTGCTCGGAGCTCTCGGCATCGTTCGTGTTTGCGCCGAAGCCTTTAGGGACTCCCTCAGACGCGCAAGTCGTACTTTGCAAGGCTTGGACGGGGCCGCCCTCATCGAGCAGTTCAGCTGTATTCCGCTCACTTATGATAGCAATAAAAGCTCGCGTTTCTTCTCGGGAGAAAACTGCGGGCGACCACACAAAACCGCTCTCCGCGCCGCCGACGAGGTCGGCCGCCGTCATGTTCTCAGCTGCTCACTCGCTCCCGCAGCGAGCGTATTCCCATAATCTTTCCCTTTCCAGAACGCGATGCGACCCCCGTTTACATGGGCTGAATGAATGCGCATTCGCCGTTTCGATCCACCTCTGTCTAGCGACTTGTATGCGATGCGCTTCCTTAGCGCATTATGCCGTTTACATTACCGCATTGTATGCCACAATTGCATTTGATGCGACTAAGTCGCATTAATGTAAACGCGGCTTGTGTCTTCCTTTCTGTCCGTTGTCCTGTTGCGCATGTTAACCAGAAGAAAGCAATCTCTCGCCGACGGCAATCGCATTCGTTTTAGTTCTCGATTAACGTAAGCGACGAGAAAGCTGGTTCGCGGCCACTATGCGGTGAAGTAAAGACATGGATGTTTAGAAGCGGTGGGGGAGGTTGTTTTATCGACTGTCGCAAATTACTTTCGTGTTTACTTTTGTTTTCTACTACACTCTAAACAAAGCCCGTGCGTCTACTTTCCCGCACTACACTCGGAGAGCAAATCACCGCAACTTTATGTCAGCATGACGTTTTGCATTGCTTAATGTCACAACTCAGACTCCGTTTTTTCGTCTAAACATATGTTTCGTCATCGTCATTCGCTGAGCTACTTCCGCAAGTTGCGGTGATTGGCTCTCCGAGTGTAGTGCGGGAAAGTAGACGCACGGGCATTTTTAGAGTGTAAGAGAAACCATGAATCGTTTGCAAACTTGAAGAAGGATATTGGTGCGATGCGATCACTATATTTGCAACATTATTCACTAACGTGGTGATTCGCGATGACAAGTTTGCGCGCTCAAATGGTCAGTATAGACGTTTTTAACGTTTTTCGTTTCCTTTCGTTCTCAGTCACGTGGGTTCCGTATCTAGTATGCCGGGGCCCCGGGGGGGGGGGGGACAAAAAAATAAAACATTTCAACCTGGAATATGCGAGAAGATATAGGTAAGACAAAACAAGATTGTGTGACAATTACGCATTTTTTGTGAACACCTTGCAGCGGCGTGGAGAGATTAAAATGATGTTTTAACTCATACCAGAAGTGACGACGCTCAAGATGGCTGCGCCCTTATGGAAAAGGTGTATAAATGACCCATGGGCAGTCAAGGGAGCTAGCGATTAGAATGTCTAGAGCAAGCGTGTCACGTGTGTTCGTCGTATTTGTATGTGATCTGTGTTGAACGCATTTTATCAATTGTGTGCTAAAGATGTTTGTGTGCGAGATGTGTATCTAGTTGCAAATGCGGAAGCATTGAAATTAACTATATATAACTGTTTTTTTAAACTTTAAAGGGACGGTGATTAGCGCTACCTGGATTACTCATTTTCAGTTTTAAGTTTTGTTGCGCCTGCCACCTGCTGGTAAGTAGTATAACCACACGGCTTTTTTTCCCCCACTGGAAATCACGTGACTGCTTGCGTTTCCGGTCTTCCGGTGACTAGTTTCATCACCAAGTAACCCCTTACTAGCTTGACCGTTACTAACTACGGTTACTAGGCACCTAGCAACATATATGACAAGCAGTTATTAGCTCTTACGTAGTAAATACTGCTAGCATTTTTTTTAAAGAGTGCAGAAGTGCGTCATTAAGCTTTGCGATCCCTGTTGTGGCGATATTTAAATGCTGCTCATACAGTGGACGCGAGGTCTGCGAAGGCATTCGATTTTGACTCGTCGCAATCAATACCTCGGCATGCGTTCGGGTAGTGGCTCGTGTGCTCTGCCAACCCCGACGCGTGGCTGTGGTAAAGACTTCGCCGGCACATAATCGGCTCCAGATCACGTGGCCGCTTTTTCTGGCGTCAAGTTGAGGGGATAAACGGTGTTTGTTTTTCTTGAATTTGTTTTGCGACTGCCACTGCGTAGATAAGAAAAGCAACGTGTGTTTCATAGGTCATGAATGTTAAGGAATAATTCGTATCTCTATTTATTGAAAGGAGACACATTGTTGCATCGCCCCTTTAGAGGGGTCATGAAACGATTTCGGGTTGGAATGTTCATAACTTTGTAGAGTCGTACAGGTCCTAGTCTGGCCCAAGTATACTCGCACAGACCACCACTGATTTGGAAGCTTCTTTGTTGCGATGAAATTGAAAGGATAAAAAGAAACTATTTCTTTCAGTCTTGTCTTCGCAAAGCTTGATGACGTAATTGTGGGATCGAAACCACCCGCTTGACGACAGTCGAACGCGGCTGATAGATTGGACACGAGAACTGCATGAGGGACTCGACTTCGGCTTGTAACAATCAATGCCTCGGCGGACACTCCGGTAGTGGCCCGTGTCCAACCACTGCGGTGATGAGAATAGCCCAACTCTTACAATGCCTGGAGCTCAGCTCGCGTTTTCTACTCTGCCGACCCCAGCGCGTGGCTATGATAACGTGATTTCCATAAGATAGGCACCAGGCCAGGTGACCGCTTGTTCTGGCTCCGAGTTGAGGGGATGAACGATGTTTTTATTTCTCGAATTTCTTTGGCGACTGCCATTACCTAAAGAGGAAAGCTAAGGCAAATTTTTCAGTTATTAACGTTACGGAGTGATTCTAAGTAGCATTTAGCGAAAGTAGAAAAGTCATTGTATGGCTTCTTTAAACTCTTCGCAGTAATGCTTTGTGTTTCCTCAATGGTTTAGATAGGAACTCATGGAATTGTTGCTCTTTTTATTTTTTTTTTTCAGACACCTCTTTCAACATGAAATGGAGCACGCCATCGTCTGACGTCCTACGGATACTTCAAGCATACCTGGTGAGTGTTCTCAATACTTCTCTTGTATGACCCATACTGAAGGGCTTACCGAAGTCGTATTTGCTGCCAAAGTCCCATTCTGTGTTAGATGCGTCATTTACTAAATGTGAGTCGCACACTTCAATGGATTGAAGAAGAAAAAGAAAACCACTCTCCTTTGTCCTTTCCGTGGATGATCTGATCATTTCAGTCTCAGTGGTCGCTATTTACTGGCCCGAGGCGCTCGTGACAGTAATACTTAGCAGAACGTAAAGAACTCATTGAGGTGCTTGAAAGACTTCCCCTATTGGTAAGCTCCAAAGCGCTCGGGTCACAAGATCGTCGCAATTACAACACTGCAAACAAGCCATTTGCGGTGAGAGCAAGGCAGCTCAATCGCACTGTCACAGACGTTCTGAGGCGTTTCCCTAATGCGGCATGGTGCCTCGTTTTCTTCTCTTCGCGTAGACTTTCGTCATGTGGAGTCACATCGAGGGAGCCCTGCAGATGAGACCTTTAGGTGCGTACTTTTTACATCGTCCACCTTTCCAAGGCGAATTACATAAACTGCCCAGCACGACGCGCATACGCGGGCTTTAACCAAATTGCTCACTTCCAGCTGCAACGGAGCGGTGCGCCGCGCGACCTCGAAAAATTATGTACTAGACAGACAAATTGTTCCCTGCTACCTCGAGAGAGTAAACTATTACACTAATTTGCGCCCCTTTGTTTTTTTCGTGCCTATGTCTTGCCTTGTCGGTACCTTATTTGTACGGCAAACAAAGACAAAAAAAAAAAAATAAGGCGAAAAGGTAAAAGAGAACGCGTCGTCGCCGGACAACGCATATAGGAGTTGACGTGGAATGTATGGTTTCTCTCTGATTCTCTCCCTCTATCTTTTTCTTTCTCATCAGCTTCCAACTCATTTTTATTTGTTTGGAAACTTTGTTTCTACGGAAACTCGGAGATCCCACAAAAACACGTGAGGAGGGATTTTTATCCGCAAACGGTTTGAAGGATGAAATGAATAATTGCATCCAGTGACCCAGCACGGAGGGCACTGGTTAGTGTCATGACCGCTTTCTGGTTCTTCTTTCTTTCTCGCCCAGTGTTTATCTTCCTCAATAACTAGGCCTCAGCTGTCACTGCCGATGACAGTCCCAGGCTCGGCCGTCACTTTCAGCGAGTAGAAGAGAACATCCCGCGGGCTTAGTTGGACCGCTTGCTTCGCTCGCCGGTGGATCGGTGGCGTAGAGGTTGACCCGATCCTTCACCGGGAAAATGTTTGAAGGGCAGTCTCCCACAATATAAAAGACCCATTCGCCTAGGCAGTGCATGTGGCGGTGCTATAGTGCACTTAGGCCAGATGTTTGTTTGTTTTTCGTTTTTGTTTAAGAATTTAGAACACAGGTTTTTTATTTTTTTTTATTTCCTCGCTTCAATCAATGCGGGCCTGGCCAAAGCGAATTCAGTACAGCCGCCCGAAACTGCCTTGCCTAATGGGTTTATCATATTGTCGGAGCCTGTACGTCCTCAGAAGTGAGCTTGGCGACAACCAACGATATTAGACACGAGAGAAAAGGACGATGAAGATTTTGTTAACATTAACAGTGACGTTCCCGAAGATGCCTTGACAATGACGGGGTCGCAACAATAACGCTTCACAAATGGTATCGCTGAATGAACACTGCTCTTGGAAACGTTGCGCTCAAAGGAATAGTCGCTCGTCTTGTTTCGCCGCCAATCACAGAGGGGGCGAAGGACAGCTTTCTACAGAAGGTGAGCCAAACAAACAGCGTTTGTGACTCAGCAAAACTATAGTATTCTGGGTGTCCAAACGCAGGTTAAATATCAGGATCATTTTCTCAACCTCGTCATTGAACGGAGCAAGAGAAGAACAATTCGCTCCACTCGTGCTCTGCGGGGATTCGCTGAACGGTTACAAAGTGTAACTCCCTCAAAATGGCCACGTGGTCGGTGTTCTGTGGATCGGGCAGCACTCTAAAAAAAGTCTGTGCGTCTACTTTCACGCACCAACACTCGGAGAGCCAATCACCGCAACTTACGGAGGCAGCTCAGCGAATGACGATGCCGAAACATATGTTTAGACCAAAAAACGCAGTCTGAGTTGTGACATCAAGCAATGCAAGTGTGACGTTTTGCATTGCTTAATGTCACAACTCAGACTGCGTTTTTTGGTCTAAACATATGTTTCGGCGTCATCATTCGCTGAGCTGCCTCCGTAAGTTGCGGTGATTGGCCCTCCGAGTGTAGTGCGTGAAAGTCGACGCACAGACATTTTTTAGAGCGAGGGGGTCAACCATTGCAATCTACAAAGCGCATCGAACGAACGACGAGTTGCCAAAGATACTTCGGCTAGATGACAAAACCTGAGGAGGGGCAATGGGCAGGCGAAACGTCGCGCAAATTGTCACTGGACCGGTTCTGTGTTCGAGTCAAAGCTTGTGTGTCGCCCCGTAAGTCGCTTGGCTTTTTCGTAGACCAGTATGATTGGCTCTCTGCGCAATTAACAGAAATGCTGCAGAGGGTAAAGAGAGATCATGAGCAGGTGTTGGACGGAAGTTTGCTGCGCGCCCGCAGCAGCTTGAATACCACCTTGAACGCTAACGAGCGAACTGCCTCTCCACTGCGCAACTCCACACTCGCGACCCTCCGTTAGCCTTCCCGAAAACTTGGCACGACGCACATGAGATGTGCACAATCACGCCTGAAAGAAGCGGAAGGCGCACCTTCGACCGAACAAAGACAGCTCTCGCGACGTCAACAGCAGCTGCTGTTGCCGGGAAGCACCCGCTATTTTCGTCGGCAGCCTTAATCGCAGGGCCGCTTCTTGCTAGGTTACAAATTGCAGCGTTCTTGAATTGCGCTGTCTCTGAAAGCGACGCGAGCCGCACATCTCGGACCCGGCTGTGCCTTCTAGTCCCAGACTTGAATAGGCACAGTGACGACGTCGAGTAGCTTAACTTGAGCAGCATCGGTCATAGCCACAAAAAGCAAGATCGGGTTGACAAGGAACGCTCCCAGCTAATAATACGCATTTTCGGTGGGAAATAAATGTCATTTTTATACTATTGCGCTCCCTTGTTCACAAGCTCGTTCCGAATTCGATCAAGGCATTGACTGACTAACTGACATATCCGATGCCATGGTGCTTTGGTTGGCACCTCGCTCCTGCCCGCTGCTGGAGCATCTGCTCCCCCCATTTTCTTTTCTCTCTTTCTCTCTCTTTTGCTTTCTTTCTCTCCCTCTTGTTTAACGGGGATCTCGTATGTTCGGATGTCAAGCCGACAAGGGAAATGAAAAGATAGCGTAGCCACTCAAGTCCTCGAGGACTCTTTTCTTTCTTCTCTTTTTTTGCGCTGCCGCGTGACGGGCCGTCGCAGCTCACTCAGTCTCTTGTTCCTTGACGTCTGAGCGCTGACGAACGATCTGTGCCATTCGTCTGCGTCGTTGTCATCTCGGCGCGTCTTCGCTGAGAGGTTTGCAGCGGGGCCAACTGCGGCTGTTTTTATATCAAGGACGCGGAAGAACACGCCAGACTTGCACGGTAATCATTACAAGTAATCAAATCACTTGTAATCAATTACATTTTTTTAAATTTTGTAATCATTTGAATACATTTATTTTAAAGTAAACACGAGGGTAATCTGATTACCTTTGAAGGCACTAAAATATTCATTACCGTTACTATTTTCTCTTCCACTTCTTAACGGCGCCCTTTGTACAACTTTCCTCCCAAAGAATCCTCGAACCAAATCTCCGATAGGAGGATGGTTCACCAAAATTGCTGGGTTGACAAGATAAGTAGTTTTGAGATAGGTGATTCCAATCGAATAATGGACAGTACGAAAGACCCGCTTTTGAACCGGTAGAAATATCTCTCCTTTTGAAAATATGAAGTAATTGGAAAAAGAACGGTTACCTTTTCAAGCAACGCCCAATTACTTTCATTCTCAGGTAACTATTATCGAGGAATGTGTACAAGACTGAGCACGGTGAACGCTTTCGGGTGACCTCTAAGACCATTCTTCTGGCTCCAGGTATAATGCCATCGCATCTAGCACTCGATTCAAGTTGCAAGTCGTCGCTGGAGTGTCTTCTGTTCATCGCCAACAGTCATTGCAGCTGGCACAGGGGGGCCGTCTGCGACTGCCAGCCGTATCACGTTCGCTACAACAACTCTATGTGCTTGAAAGGTATCCACCGAGGGTGTTTTTACACTCTATCTGTTGTGACTTGGAGCGGCCGGTTTTCGATATTTATATTTCAGAAAGGCCGCCAAATGCACGAGAATCTAAGTTTGGTTATACTGTAGCTATACATAGCTCGCAAGCCTCGCCATTGCTGGGTATTGGCGACGTGCGCGATCGAAAGCGTCGCTGTGGTCGGCCTTCCCCGATTGGCCGAATGCTGACTATGACGTCAGCAAAGGATTTCTCATCGACGGAAATAAGAGGAATGTATAAACTTCAATTCTGACGGTGTTGGTAGTGTTGCTTTAAGAGCGCAATGATTTCAAGCTTCCACCATGCTCCTTACGAACACCATCGAACTTGTTCTTAGCAAGGTAATGACGTCACGAAAGGTAACCATAGGAGGGCGCCACTAAAACATCTCGCCGCTAATAAGGAGTATTCACTAAACGCCATATTTGTGGGTGCTGTTTAGAGCGCATGCTCAGAACGAGCCATCATTAATAGGCTGCTAAGACCGGCAACCTTGAGGGTGCGGGATGCACGTTACAGAAGAACTGTGGAAGCTCGCCATCAGCACGCGCTCAGCAGCCGCGCACACAGCTATGGCCGCCAGTGAATACTTCCTATTGGCGACGTGCGCGATCAAAAGCGTCGCTGTGTTTGGCTTTCCACGATTGGCCGAATACTGACTATTACGTGAGCAAAGGTTTTCTCTTCGACAGAAATAAGAGCAATGTACGAACTTCACTTGTGACGGTGTTGGCGGTGTTGGTTTCAGAGCGCAATGATTTTAAGCTTCTACCATGCTAATTACAAACACCGTCGAACTTGTTGTTCGCAAGGTAATGACGTCACGAGAGGAAACCATAGGAGGGCGCCACCAAAACATCTCGCCGCTAATACTGATGGTTATTTCTACTTGTACTGGTTCCTTCGAACTGCAACTTCTGCGGTGTGAAACTAACACAGCGGACCGAACGCTAGCGGCGCATAAAATGCTGGCATGGCCGCGAATGACGTTACATGCAAGCTATGTATACTCGCGTAAACTGTGTAAGATATATCGGCGAGGACACAATACACGACGAACACTGCTCGGAATGTACAAATTCCCATTGACGCGCGCCCGAATAGCCTCAGCCGACAGCGTCTCCGCCCTCCAGACGCCGCAACTGAGGAAACAAGAAACAAAGAAAGCAAAACAAAACTGGGCTGAAATCGCTGCTGCGCCGCCACGCTGATTCTCGAAGAAATGCGTTAGTATTTCGCGCAGCGGTAGTGTATAAGAAAGCAATATGCAGCCGCGCAGCACCTTTCCGCAAGGTGAACATTCCAGAAAACCCTCTTCTCTCTGGTGCAAGCAGATCAGGTCACTTAGCGTGTGCGCGAAGGCCCTGTGCGCGGTGCGCGGAACACGACAGAGCCATTTCGTTGTTGTGCATACATGTTGTGCATACAGGGGCGACGACACCGTGCGCTTACGACCCGGTGACATGATAACTGCGCTTTAAGAAGTGCGTGGTAGGCCGAAGTACGGAACTGCAGCCTGCGTGCGTCCACAGGTCTCGAAAGCCGGGGGCAGGAGCTTCCGGAGTTGTTCAAAGCGTACACCCGCACGCCGACCGCGTGACGTAACACCTATACTCGGCGACAACGTTTCTTGGCAATGCAGTGGAAGTTTTGGAGTGCCCGCGCACAGCCTTATCCAGCGCTCAAAATGGGATTGCATGGGAACTCGTGCCTGTACCGTCCACTGCATTGCCAAGAAAGGTTGTCGCCGAGTATAGGAACCGAGGGGCAGTGGGGGACAGCGGGGCTAGGGCGAACTTGGACAACCGGCGTGGCGCCGCGAGGCGGCGTGTTAAGGGTGTCTTAATCCAAGGTGGGTTAATAGTTTTTAATGATCGTCCGCAGACTGATGTCGTCAAGCGGCGTTAACTTGGGGGGGGGGGGGGGGGGGGGGGGGGCGGGGGCGGGGGGAAGGGGGTGGTTGACACGCGCCTCAGTGATACACCCACCGTCCCCCACTGCGCAGCACCGAAATTGGCGAGGAAGGACGTCGCCGGCGATCTTCGGTTGCTAGGTGTTACGCGGGACTGTGGCGTCATCCCGTGCCCCCGTTGCGAACTTTGAATACGTGTGTTCTAACCCGTTCGAGCTCAGTGCATGCACCAGGGCACTAATGCTTACGCATTAAAAAAGTGACTCGTGCCAATTGCTCCCGGGCGCGCGCTCTTACGGTTCGGAGAGTCTGCTCTCCTGAAGGACGCTGGCCTGAACACCGTGCCAGAGATCTCTCCGTTTCAAAGCGTTCATAGAACTGTTACTGCCTCGAGCACCGATGAGAGGTGCTCACTCGCACTATTCACTTCTGAAATGTCAGAAAAAGCTGCCCGCGAGTATAGACTATTGCAAAGAAGGCATCTGGCCTCCGCCGTGTTCTTGCTCGTGTGAGCAAGCACGTGCAAGTGAAATCTTGCCAAAGCTACTTTCACGCGCATGCTGCACGTGCTTGTACGCGTGGGGCTTCAGTCGAGAACCCATGTTTGCAAACGTCTATTAGCGGCGAGATGTTTCGGTGGTGCCCTCGTATGGTTCGCTCTCGTGACGTCATTACCTTGCAAACAACAAGTTCGATGGTGTTTGTAAGGCGCATGCTGGAAGCTTGAAATGATTGCGTTCTGACAGCAACACTGGCAACAGCATCAAAATTGAAGTTCTTACATTTCTCTTGTTTCCGTCGTTGAGAAATCCTTTGCTGACATCATAGTCAGCATTCGGTCGATTGCAGAGGGCCGACCACAGCGACGTTTCGGATCGCTCACGTCGCCAATAAACCATTCCAGAAAAGACCTGCAGAGCGGTGCCATTTTCCGCGGTCGTGCGTATTGCGCGTGCTCTGCTCGATTTCCGAAGCCACGAACACGCTCGTGCTCGCCTGTGGAGATTGCACATAAAGCTGTGGATTTGTAATTAATAGAAAGATGTATAGAAGACGCAAAATAGATGTGCCAAGCATTCTATTGGATGTACAATATTTATTTCAATGTCAGAGACATGGTTTCCACGGAACGTCTTAGCACCATGATGGAGGGCATTTCGAATTCTTCTTACCGAAAAAAAAAAGCAAAAGTAGTGGTGAGAAATGTGTCCTGCGTGAGGAACGCACCCAGCAGCATAACCACCACAATGGCAGGTGCATGTGGCGTCAGTTCAAGTCATGTATTCGCAACTGCAGCCCGCCGCTCGCCCTCTGGCGGACGAGTGAAGAACCAGTGGAGCGGGGACGGCGACGGAGGCGGTGGCCGGGACTATATCGGCCCTGGTGCTACTGTTACCGCATGGTTCTGGCGGGCGTGTTCTTGCATCGTGCAGTGTTAACGAAAAAAGCGAGTGCCCTCAAATAAAAATTGTTGCGTTCCACTTCGGAACTTTTAAAAATCAACATGCTAATTTTCTTAACGCACGTCAACATCTCTGTTACCTGTGATATGCTCCTGCTCTGACCGCTTCGTGTTTGTAGCCAAACAGATTAATTTTAGCACACTGACCAGCTTCGGCGAGCAGACGCACGGGAAATCCTGGAGAATCCCCAGCCCAGCATGCGATATTCGGTGCTTTAGTCGCTTCGGAAAGCGACTAAAGCGCGTGCCGTAGTGACGAACCCTGCAAGTGGCACCAGCCAAAAGCCTCATTTCCCCCACGAATACATGGCTTGCACTTGACGTCATGGTACCGTACAAATGGTAAATTTTGGTAATTACTAATGGTTTTTTTATAGAAAAACAAATTCGGTGGGGCGAAACGCTCGCTTCAGAAGGTAAGCCGGCAGCAGCAAGTTTTTCACAAAGGCCGCTGGTGTGACGTCCGTGCAATCCATATAGTATAAACCAGAGCAAAGACGACAGGCATTAATCTTCAATTGTCCCGTGCACTGCATGAGGCGACTGAGTTTTTTTTTGTTACTGCGGGTGCACGCTTCGCTGGTAATGTGAGAGCACCACTGAACGTTAACAAATTCCTAAGAGTATACATTGACCATAAGAACTGACAAACCAATCGTAGAATTCGTTTTTAGGTTGGTGATTCTTGGTGCAGTGATATATGCAGCGTTTAGAAGAATATGTTTTTTGACACGGAAGGTCATTGGCTGTGACTGGTCACGTAATCACTTATCATGAGATAAGCAAATAAACCCGCCAGATTTTGCGGAGAATACGCTAAAGTGGGGTTTCCTCTAAACCTGGCATATTCATATTTTTTTCTCTATTGTTACGCTTTTGCATCTAGCTTTGGCGTCTAGCTTTGACGTCTCACGTTTTCAGCAGGTTACCTTCTGTTGGTTTTAAAGCTCTCCAGAAGAGACCGATCTAACCAGCAGTTTGATTACGCCACCGTTGCCGCAATGCATTGAGGGAACTTTAGTCTTTCTGCACGTGTCCGAACCTCGCTGGAACTCTGCACGTGCAGAGCACGAGACAGCAAGAGCCGTCTCGGGCACTGCCGCCTGCGGGGCAGCAAGAGCCGTCTCGGGCACTGCCGCCTGCTTTTGTGAACTAAAGTTAGGGCGGCTTCACGCATGTGCCGAACCCTTGGTGAGATTGATTTATTCCAAACCTTGTACAGGACGCTCTGGCGGCTGGCCAAAGTTTCGTTCGCGTGCACTGGTCCAATGCTTACACTCACTGCTCGCACATCAGGGGCACAAACTCTTGACTGCAGTGTCACAGAAAGTTGACCCCAAGAATAAAGAGGATTCACTGGCGGCTATAGTCGTGTGCTCTGTTGTCAAGCACGCGTGCTGGCAGCGAACATTCACCAGATTTATTTCGCACTGTCAAAACAGTTGTTCATGGGAGACAGTAAGTTAATTGCTTCCCCCATATCTCGTGCTGATGACGACATGTGGATGCTTTGTATTAGCGACGAGATGTTTCGGTGGCCCCCTCTTAAGGTTCCTATCCGTGACGTCACGACCAGGAGTATCAATTGACCCCGTA